AGAGGTCAGCCAGACTGGCCCCATTCCCAGTTATGTGGATCCTCTCCCCAGAAGAATGCACTACAGAGGACAGCACTGAAGCTACAGCTCCGGGAGAGGGGCAGGTCTGCTCAGAACACAAGAGAGCATACTAAGAGGGAAGGAGAGAGAGAGTGGAATGCATCCTAAGCCCCCCAAGGACGATATTCCTGCTTGGATCAGCCAAAGCACAAAAAGGACCAGAGGGCTGGCCCCACTGCGAGATATGGCATCCCCTCACTGACCTATAGCATAGGGGGACAACATGGAGACACGGTGCAGGACACAGGGCCTGGTCTGCCCCCCCCCACACACGGGCAAAACACAAAGGGAGTGCAACAGAGTAGCAAGGGGAGCAAAGCAATGAAGTCCCTGAGGAATACCAAAAATAGACTTTGGGGGCAGGGCTTGGCACCTCATCAGACTCAATCGGAAAACATTCATAAAGGTGGACAGACCTGGAACTATTTATAGGCCTCTTTCCCCCACCCCCCACCCAATGTCTATCTATTTAAGATAGGCAGGATAAACGATCCCAAGGAGAAAGCAATGTGACCAATGGTTCCAGGAGTTCCATGGGAATAGGACAGGGGGAGGTCAGGGAAAGGGAGGGGGAAAACAACAAACCCAGGGACAGGGGAACAACAACTGATCTAAAATCAATGACGAGTAGAGCATAGAATACCTGGTAAGGCATGATCAAGTGCAACGGAGCTGAGAAGAATTACTGAAAGGCGAATGAAGGTCAAACATGATAGTGGAACAAGAGGAAAGTAAAAGGAAATAAAAGAAAGAACTAGGAGGCAAAAGATATTTATAGAGGTATAAATACAGGCACATACATATGTAAATGTATTTATAATGATAAGGAAATAGATCTATGTACATGTATTTATATGTTAAGTTTTAAGGTAGAAGACAGACATTGGGCCTCTACTCCAAGTACTCCCTCAATGCAAGAACACTACACTTCATTCTAATAACCTGGCATTCTGTGATGCTCACATTCCCAACATGATCGCTGAAGACAAAATGGGTATGTACATAAGCAAATGCGGTGAAGAAAGCTGATGGTGCGCAGCTATACAAAGATATAATATCTAGGGTCTTAAAGGCTTGAAGATAAACAAGCAGCCATTAGTAGGCAAGCAACAAAGCCACATGGAAGAAGCACACCAGCCTGAGTAACTATGAAGTGTTGACAGGATCAGGTATCAGAAGACCCAAAACAAACAATCATATCAATGTGAATAAGGATAGGCAGAGTGGAGTCCTCAAACCCATTTGTAGACAATTGGACATCCACTCACAGAATGGTCAAAAGGGACGAGCCAGCAAGGGTGCAGTATAGCACTGACAAAACATACAACATTGCTCTAGTTCTTTAATGCTTACTCCCTGCCGCTATCATGACCCCAGTTCTATCTTACAAATCTGGCTAGACCAGAGCATGTACACTGGTACAGATAAAAGAGCTCTTGGCACATGGAACGCAGGACAGACAAACCCCTCAGGAACAGAAATGGTAGTGTGATACCATGAGTGTAGGGTGAAGGTGTGGGGAGAAAGAGGGAACCAGTCGCAATGATAAATATATAACCCCACCCCCCACCCCACACAGGTGATGAACAACAGAAACATAGGTGAAGGGAGACAACGGAAGTGAAAATACTAATTTATAATTTATCAATTATAAATGAGGATAGGAGAGTGAGAGAGGGAGGGGAACAATGAGGAGCTGATACCAAGGGCTCAAGTAGAAAGAACATGTTTTGAAAATGTGATGGCAATAAATGTACAAATGTGCTTGACACAATGGATATATGGATTGTCTTAAGAGCTGTAAGAGCCCCCGATAAAATGATTAAAAACCAAACACTTACAAATGCAGCATTCTGACATCCATAGCTCAGCCACAGGCATTATGCATATCATGTGCAACCATCACCACTACCCCATTTCCAAATCTCTCCACCTCAAGATGTATTTTTCAGTAGTTTTCTCGATACAAAATTCACCTATCGTACACTTCCATCATTAAATTGCTTTTATATGCATCCATACAATCACTCTAATGCTCCCCTCATTGCTTTTTAAAGTGTTCAGTTACAGGTTTTTAACCTGTCTAAGTGAACATCTCATGCATTTTAGCCTAAAAAGCTTTCATACACATGAATACTTTCATTTTTTCAATAGTATTTAAAACCTATGCCACTGGCTAGATTAACAGTACTTTTATTAGAATTACCAAATGTCCCAATGAGGTTATTTCTCAACAAGCTGATAATGCTGCCTCTAAAGTGGGCCAGATATATATATAAGCTTTAGATATAAATGGATTTTGTTTGCACTTAATCATAAGCACTAATCTAAAAACAAAGTGGCCCTGCTCAATTCTTGCCCTCATGAAGTGATCACTGAGGACAGGGGTGCTATAGGAAAGCACGGTGAAGAAAACAGATGTTTCCCAGCTAATCAGAAAGAATAGAGTCTGCAGTCTCAAAGGTTTGTCTTAAAGCAACCAGCCATGTAAGTGAGCTATCAATTAAGTTCACACATAGGAACACACCACTTGATGAGATCCAAGGATTGTAAATAGTAAACTCCAGAATCAGAGAGTTGTACTAGAGCTTAAATTCTGAGCCCCCAGTATGCAGGATACCGATGACAGGGAAACTCCGAGTCCACTGGCAGGGTTCCCACGTGGATTAAGCCTCTGGAGAATTCCCTCTGACCACTGACCAGAGATGTGAATAGCCTTGTTATCAGAGAGATTGCTTTAAAAAGTGGGTGAATGCTGATAGTTAGGTTAAAATATAATACCTTTATCATTTGTTCTTCCTTTTGACTATTTAAAATTTCTAGTTTTTATTTTCTGCTTTCATTTTGATTAAAGTTTTTCTCTATTTTTTGTCTTTACATTTTTGGTATGTTTTTCTTTATATGAATTCCACTTGCAGAGTCTACAAGCAGATTAAGCTTTCACCAGTGACTAGGGATGTGAATAGTCTTGTCCTCAGACAAAATGCATTGGAAAATGGATTACTGCATACAATTGGGTTAAAATTTAACATATTGCCATTTTTCCCCCTTTGAACAATTTCATTTGTTTTAGCTTCTCTTGTTATCTCCTTTTTCTTGGATTGAGATTTTTGTGTATTTTATTTTGTCATTATTGTTGGGATTATTTTCATGATTTTCTTTATACGAAACCCAGGATATGTAAATCCAGACAGTAACTAAATTAATAGTTCCTTAGGGCTTGGGCAAGAGTGGCTGAGAAGAAGGGGGAGGGAAATGGGGAGCTAACAATACTGAGTCTAAGAATGAAGAAAACGTTGATTTCCTTTTATTGTGGTGGTGATTGCACACTCTTTAATATATTTATACCACTGAATTGTATGTGAATTATATGCCAACAAAACAGTTAATGACAGGTTTTAAAAGTTCATGAATAGCTATGTAAGGTGCAATTATTAGTCTCTCTCTGTCCTGAGAGAAGAAGAAGAAGACAATCAATTATTGCCTGGAAACAATTAGTCCAGAAGACTAAAGGACCATGAGAATTTCACTCTCCATGACCCTGAGACCAGAGTATCTAGATGGTGCCCAGCAATCACGATCAGTTGCTCTGAAAGGGATCATGTTAGGTGGTCCTGGATAAAAATGTTTGGAACAAAACTCCAAATCATTAAAAAAAAGAAAAATAAAGCTACACTTACCAGTTGGACAGACTGCTAGAAGCCTGAGACTATGATCCTTAGTCACCAGTCAAGTCTGGAAATGAACTTACCCCCTTAGGTTAACTTTCTGCCAAATAATAGACAGGTCTTAAGGGGAACAATAGCATTAGCAAGGGATACAACCACTTGAGATAAAAATGGCAGCATTTACCCAAGGACAAAGTTCAGAAGGGTTGGAAAAGAAGGAAAAATAAAGACAGGAAACACAGGGAGGAAGTGGCTAAGTGATGTTATGTTGTCAGTATTACAATCTAGGACATCAAACAAAGTATGAACTGTTAAATAGAAAACGATCCTTCATCCAATTCCCAATTAAAAAGCTGAAACAAAACAAAAGATTTCCTAAATTGACCAATCAAATACTATCAACTCAGTCAGGAAACACCAGTTAAAGCCAATGAAATTAAAATTTCATAAAGAAAATATAACAACTCTGGTCTCATTAGAGTAATAACTAGAACCTTTCAAAAAGGGAAAATATAAACACCAGTACAAAAATAAATTGGAAGCAAGTGTAAGTATGCTGAAACCTGATGTGTCACAGAGAATGACTAATGTCTTTCAGTCTTGGTTGCATTAGGTCAGAGACCATGATCACCACCTGGTAACTCTGATGGTGGGTGCTAGCCAAGTACTGACTGCGATTAGATGAGAGGTTTCCGAAAGTTTATAGAAAAATAGAATTTAAAAATAATGGATTTTTCCCCTGCAAAGTTTTTGAAGATTCCTCTTGTGTGTGTACACACACCATATCTGTATCATATTTGGATACCTTCCTACACCTTTTTAAACAGTATAATATAGCACAACTTTTTTCACTCTAACAACCTATCTATAAGATACATTTAAATTATCTACGAGATAATCTGTATCAGCAGATACACCCTTTTGAGGCCTTTCATGCACAACATAGCATTCTTTTGTGAGCCCCTGATGATAGGTACTAGGTTGCTTTCAATTAGTTTGCTGTTATAAACAATGCTGGAATGAATAACCTTGAGCTACATAATTTCCTAATTATATAAAACAAATAATTTTATCTGTACAACAAACATATACTTATAAAAGGTCATGCCCTTCCCACTTTTTCATGCTTTTAAGAAATAGCCAGATCCATGATGATGTATAGTTAAATAATTTTACTTAAGTAATTTTGTTTTAAAATCCCATGTGTATACTCAAGTCATGCCTTTCATCTTAATTTAAAAATGGTTTCTGGGACTATACTCAAAGATCATAGGGGGTGTGGGAGGCCGGTCTATGCTAGAGTAATATGACTTCCAAACTCTCTGCACAAGTGTGTGTTTTCTGCCAGTCCCATTCAGAACATTCAGAAGGTATCTGCTCCTGAGGAGTCTGTGTCGCCCTGAATTGTGCTGATGCTCAGAGACTGAGAGCAGTCCTCCACGTTCACTGAGGGCAGGGTCACCGACATCTTAGCGGGTGGTGCCTGTGAAGTGAAGAGGGGCACTGCTTGACCACCTGCAACAAAGAGACACTGATTCAGTTTAACATGGATAGCAATAGTATTTTACTGTGGCAAAATATGAATAACAAAGTATGTGCCACCTCAACACTTCTATGCGTAGAACTCCATAAAAATGCTTCCGTTAAATAGATCTATGTGCATATATTTATAGGTTTAGTACTAAGGTAATAGATGGACATTGGGCCTCCACTCAAGTACTCCCTCAATGCAAGAACACTTTGTTCTATTAAACTGGCATTCCATGATTCTCACCTTCCCAACATGATCACTGAAGACAGAGCGGGTGCATAAGCAAATGTGGTGAAGAAAGGTGATGGTGCCTGGCTATCAAAAGAGATAGTGTCTGGGGTCTTAAAGGCTGGAAGATAAACAAGCGGCTATCTAGCTAAACAACAAAGCCTATGAAGAAGAAGCACAGCAGCCTGTGTGGTCACGAAGTATTGATAGGTCAGGTATCAGGAATCAAAGAACAAAAAACGCATATCATTGTGAATGAGGGGGAGGTGTAGAATGGAGACCAAAAGCCAATCTGTAGGCAACTGGACATCCCCTTACAGAAGGGTCACTGGGAGGAGTCAGGGTAAAGTATGGCAACGATGAAACATACAACTTTCTTCTAGTTCTTTAATGCTTCCTTCCCCAACTATCATGACCCCAATTCTACCTTACAAATCCGACTAGACCAGGCCATATACACTGGGACAGAGAAGAGCTGAAAACACATGGAATCCAGGACAGATAAACCCTTCAGGACCAGTATTGAGAGTAGCCATACCAGGAGGGTAAGGGAAAGGTGGGGGGAGAGAGGGGGAACTGATTACAAGGATCTACATATAACCCCCTCCCTGGGGGACGGACAACAGAAAAGTGGGTGAAGGGAGACATTGGTCAGGGTAAGACATGAAAAAATAATTTATAAATTATCAAGATTCATGAGGGAGGGAGGGGGGAAAATGAGGAGCTGATACAAAGGGCTCAAGTAAATGTTTTGAGAATGATGATGGCAACAAATGGACAAATGTCCTTGACACAATGGATGGATGTATGGATTGTGATACGGGTTGTATGAGCCCCAATAAAATGATTAAAATAAAATGCTTACATTATTCAAGCTGTGGTGGAGCCATCTCATCCTTTTCTAGACCCTGGCGCCCTCATTAATGTCACTCACTGCCCCTCAGCAAAAATGCCCTTTCTTCCTCCTCTCTCCACTCTTGGTCATCACTAAGCTCTGCTTTCTGTAACTCTGCTTTATTTTTTCACATAAATGAGATCACACAATCTTTGTCCTTCTGTGAGTGACTTATTTCGCTCAGCGTGCTGTTTTCAACGTCATGGAGTGCATCAGGACTTCAGCCTCTGTAGGGTGAGCAGTGCTCTGTTGTGTGCATCGGCCATGTTCTGTCTGCCCACTTTGATTTGGTTGTTCCCACCTTTGGGCTATTGTGCAAAGCGCTGCAATGAACACTGGCATACAGGCTTCTTACCCAACGGCACCATCACAGCTTCTGGGGACCTCAGGGCCATGGAAAATCCTACAGAGTGCAGTTCTACTCTGACACACACAGGGTAGCCAGTGAGTCGGAATCACCTCAGTGGCAACTAGCAACAATGGCTAATGACACCAAACACCTTTTCAAGCATTTGTTCTCCATTTGAACATGCTTTCTGGTGAAATATCTGTTCAAGTCCTCTACCCGGTTTTTTATCATATCATTTTTGTCTTTTTTACTGCTAAGTTATAGGAACTTTATACAGGCATACTTCAGAGATATTACGAGTACCATTCCAAACCACCACAATCTAGTAATGTCACAATAAAGTGAGTCACACAATATTTTTGATTTCTCATATAAAAGTCCTGCTTACATTATACTGTGGTCTGTTACGTGGAGCACATAATGAAACACTGGAAATAACAGGAGAACTGCTGTGAGCACATGCTGTTGGAAAAATGGTGCCACAGACCTTCAACGTGTGAAAAATGCAGTATCTACAATGCACGATAAGATGAGGTGTGCCTGTTTATGTTTTGACTATAGACCAAAATATTATTGGAGGCATGGTTTCCCCAAATATTTCTCCCAATATATGGCTCTTCACTTTGTTGATGAAGTCCTGTGATGACTTTAATCAATTAATCAAAAGTTAATTTTAATGAGGTCCTGTTCATCTACCAGGTATTTTGCCATACGTGCTTTTGTAGCCATTGTCTGATGACACTGTTGAAAACCAGGTCCTAGGTAAGTATCCACGTGCTTTCCTAGATAACTCAAGGGAATTAAAACAAGGATTGCATGAGGTAATTGTTTCTCAACGTGTTCTGTACTTGTCATTGAAAGAAAACGTCGGTCTTTCCACTTCCACTTATTGCCTCAACTAGAAGCAACATGTAAACAAGTAGCTAAGTGCCAAAAGCTGTAGTATAAGTAATAAACAACAGGTGAGGCTTAGAGTTAAAAGCAATCTCTGAAATCCAAACTTGTCTCTTCCTGACTGTGTGACTTTAAGTTATTTTACCACTCAGAATTGTACTTAATTGAGTTATTGCACTTATTGTGCAGGGTGTGGTGAGGATAAAATACGAGGGTTTCCCCAAAAGAAACCAGAATTTCTTTTTTCAAAGTATGCACTTAATTATTTTTTTCTTTTACAACACAGCCATATCATCTTCAAAGTACTCTCCATTACACTCAATACATTTGTCAAATCTACAATTCCATTCTTGGAAACATTTTTCAAATTCATCAGTTTGGATGGCTGACAGCACCTCCCTCGTTTTTTTCTTCTTCACTTCTTTGACTTCGTCAAATTGCTGTCCTTTCACATCCTTCTTCGTTGGTGGAAACAAAAAGTAGTCACACAGAGCAAGGTCGGGTGAGTAATGTGCATGGGCCAAGAAAGGAATACTGCTTTTTGCCAAAAACTGATGCACTGAGATGGCTGTGTGAGCAGGTGCACTGTCATAGTGGCAAAACCAGTCCCCCATCTGCCGTAAATCTGGCCTTTTTAGACATACACCATTATGCAATCTTTTCAGAAACTCTAAATAGAAAGCTTTATTAATTGTCTGACCTGGTGGAACAAACTCCAAATGTACTGCAAGTCAACATTTTCATCCATTCGGGAAATTGATGGACGCCCAGAACGAGGTTTATCATCAGTTGGTATTTTACCTTTTTGGAAACGAGAAAACCACTAGTACAGTTGAGTTTTTCCATAGTGGTGTCCTTGTACACTGTGTTCAACATCACAACAGTTTCTGTGGCATTTTTCCCAATTAGGAAACAAAATTTCACATCTGTATGCTGTTCTCCTAAATCGGCCATCACCGATGAGGTTCAAGTGAAACTGCTTTTAAGAAAAAATTTGCTGTGACGAGAGAACCTTCCCAGTTGACACCACAGGGTGCACTAATTCAGATCAAATTGCTCGATGCTCGCTTAGTAGGAAAAAATCGTACTACTACTACTACTGCTACTGCTACTACAGCTCTGCCCCACCCAGCGCAATTCTGTGTTTTTTCTGGGTACCTCCTTGTATCTGTAAAGGGTTTAACAGAACTTTAAGCAAGTACTAAAAACTAAGAGCTACTATTACTACTAAGTGATTGCTAGTATCACTATTACCATAAATTAGATACCTAGATGTCCAACTAAAAACACAAAAACCACTGTAGTGGTCCTAAAATAAAGATTTACTGTTATAGATAGAACATGAGTCTCAAGAAGGGGTAGCTAAGAGCCAAACATGATGTGCTTCTCCAGGGACTGGTCTCTCCTGGCAACATGTCCAAAGTATGTGAGATGAAGACCAGCCATGCTTGCCACTGAGGAGCTCTCTGGCCAGACGTCTTCCCAGGCAGATTGGGTTGTCCTTTCAGCAGTCCATGCTACTTTCAATATTCTTCTCCAGACCCACAATTCAGAAGAGATTGAAAGTACCATACTTTGGACATGCTGTCAGGAGAGACTAGTCCCTGGAGGAGGGCATTATGTTTAGTAAAGTGGAGGGGCAGTGACAAAGAGGAAGGCCCTCAAGGGCGTGGACTGACAACACCATGGCTGCAACCATAGGCCGAAGCCTGGGACCGATTGTAAGGATGCACAAGATGGGGCAGTGTTTCCCTTGTTGTACGGTCGTTGCGGTTCACACAGGACTCACTGGCACAAACAACAGCAGATAAGAGCCCTGTAAAAAGCTCTTCAAGTCAAAGCTTGTCCATACACAGGCACTTTACTCTTCTTCCTTCTCCTAAACACAGATCCCCAACTGAGTCAGGTCATTAAAAATTATGTACTGAGGACCTCCTCCTCTTGCTGGTCTTTGCTTTCCTGCTTGTTTGGATTCTGCAGCCAAGGCCAGTGGCACAGGTGGCCTGCCATCCCTGGGAGCTCTCAGCACCCTGCCATATTTCTGCCCACCTTGGATCCGCACAACTCTGCACCCACCGGTCTGTGGATCTCCCCACTTCTTGGTTTGCCTTCTGACTTCTTCAGCTGGCAGCGGTGTGAATTTAGTGGGAATATCAGCTAGCATCTGACCCATGGACTTGAGTTGGACTGGCCTGGGAGCCCTCAATACAAAAAGGCAGCCTCGGTGGCTTTCTTTCTTGATATAAAATTATTTCTTACACATATATAAGTGTACCTGGTTTCGTTTCTCTAAAAACCCAGCCCAACACACTGTTCTCTGTGGGTTTCCACGGTGTAATATTTACTGGAGCCGACTCCCTCATTCTTCCCTTGTGGGGAGATTGGTGGGTTTGCACTTCTGAGCCTCCCAATAGTGGGAACTCACTATCCTGCCTGGGCTACAGTAGCTATACTATTGAGTATATGAACAGATTAAAATAAAAATATCCTTTCAAAAAAATTATGTACTGAATGCTGAAGGGTGCAATGCTATTGATTAGCGAAGAGATTGCTACGATGATAGCATTGCTAAAGATGGGGAGAAAAGTGGTTGAAGTGGATAATTCAGGTATTAATGA